GTACAAACATCCATTTAAGCGTGTGTTTGGACCGATATGGGGCTCGTCAAGGGCGTCTCCGTGCAAACACGTGCGACGCGGATGAAAGGGAGAAGGTGAAGCCTTTGTGCGCGGGCCGTGGGGTGTCTTCTTGCGATCTTCCGTTATCGGATTGCGCAATAGAGGAGGCAGAAGTTGCCTCGGTTGGAAGCTCATTTCGATCCAATTGCCTCATCTGAAGCCCCTAAGGGACTCTTCAGACCATTATCTTCTGTCTTGCTGGAATGATGCATCACCTGCAGCTGGTGAGGAGAAACGTCAAGGCCAAGGATCCCTGCAATGCGTGAAGGAAGATTTTGTGCATTCTGCACGTGCAGGTAATGTCCCTCGGCTTCAGCAAGCAGCTTCTCCACATCGATCCGGTATGACATTTCATTCATATGCTGAAAGTTGAAAAAAAAAAATCAAGTCTACCACACCAACTAAAACCATTGGAAGAATTTCATTGTATTGAACATCTTATTATTCAATGCAAAATGTAGGGAAGCATTCCGTGCATAGTATGCACAACCTTCCTAAAGTGAAGCCCAACCCATCAGCATGGTCATGGCTTCACACATAATAACTGAATTTCTTGTATTGGACCCTCCTCAGTATGGATGAGAGCTTGAACCCACTACAGTTAGAGAAATTAGCCAGCGCATCCACAAGTTTTCCTTCATGTTATGACAATGTACACTTTACTGAAGGGCAGGCCAGAAGTACTGTTGGAGTTCAACCGGACTTCCTCGCCTAATGGGACCAAATAACCACACCACATTACAATGCAGTTATCTCTTGTTATGCTGGCATCTTGCTGTTAACTGATGCCCCAGAGAGTAGACAGGTAAAACGGGTATATGCCTGTTATCTGACACTCACATCAAAATAGTGTAAAAACTCTATTATTTCATCATTTGTTGAATAGGCCATGATTTTTGGCAATACAGTGTATATGTATGCATCTGTATGTTTTCGTGTACAAGGTATGAATGGGCATTTGCATCTTTGTAAACTTCAGGCAAAACTCTTCTCATTCCCATGTAGCCATGGGTGATCCAGAACTCATCCATGAACATTACAGTAGTTCGGAGATGGATAAAGGTCTAGAAGCGGGCATCCTTCTGATATTCATAGGATGTCATGGATCGACAGCTTTTCGCTGCTTCTGAGTTTTATCTTGGCAGAATTTTTCTCCATCTTATCCCCAATCATGTCAGTTTTATTGAATGACAGCTTTATGGAAAGGCGACATGAGCATCACATGATTTCCAGAGTTATTTTTTTCCCTTCATATGTTTCACCTTAGATCTAAACCCCATAAATTTAATGATTATATCAATTGTGTGGCATTATATTAATAATTGGATCAATGTACGAGGGTTACTCAATAAGTTATCTACCTGAATAAGAAAGAAACATCCGTGGGGAAAAATAAGACTTTATTTTTCAATGGAGTCACCTTTTAACTCAACATACTTATTCCACTTTGATTCCAAGGATTTTATTCCCTCGGAATAGAAGTCAACTTCTTGTCCATCAAACCAATCAGAAACGGCAACTTTCAGCTCTTCATTGCATGAAAATCTTTTTACCCGCAACATTTTTTTTCAAGTGTCTGAACAGAAAATAGTCACTAGGAGCCAGATCCGGGCTGTAGGGAGGATGGTTGAACTCCTGAAAGCCACACTCCCTCACTGCTGCCTGAACTTTCCATGATTTGTGGACGGACGCGTTGTCATGGAGAAGGACCCCCCTTGACAACTTTCCTCTGCGTTTTTCCTCGATGGCATCATGTAAATTTTTCATGGTGGTAGCATAGGAATCGCCAGTGATTGTACACTTGTCTGGCATGAACTCAA